CTGGTGGCGCAGTGGTTGGGAGTCTGCCTGCCGATGCAGGGGATGCGGGTTCGTGCCCCAGTCCGGGAAGATCCCACATGCCGCCGAGTGGCTGGGCCCGTGAGCCATGGCCGCTGAGCCTGCGCGTCCGGAGCCTGTGCTCCGCAACGGGAGAGGCCACATCAGTGAGAGGCCCGTGTACCGCAAAAAAAAAAAAAACTTTGAGCACAGAAAGACACATCTCAGAGAGAGGTGGTTTCTGACCTCAGTTTAGGAAGAAGGATGGACCATTGATGGATGGGAGAAGAGGCAGAAGGAAAGGGAGCAGGCCTGACGCAATGGAGGCACTCAATAAATTCTCCAGGGACTGACCTGAACTGAACTCAGAAGCAGTGATGATACTTGGGAGCAGGATGCTGATGTCAGAGAAAACACTGACCACCTGATTAAGGTCAATAGTGAACTTCTGCTATGATTGGCTTCAAAAGTATGACGTTCATGGCAGATAAGTACATCATAGAAGTTAACGTTAGCACTCACCCCAGTTGCTTATAAGGGGAAGGCATTCCTGGCAGCTGCTGTTTAAGAAGAGAGTTGAAAGTGTGACTCCAAGTGACTTACAGAGGTTTGACTGACCATGAGTGGTGCAGATGACTTAGATGAGCTGATAAGTGAAGAGGAGGACTGAGTTCACATCCTAAGGAGCTTGGGCCCATAAGCTGATGACTGGGGCCAGCTAACAATATGACCTGACCCTCATTGCTAGCCATGTTACTAGAAATAAAACGGCCTTTTGTTTGTGATACCTCTGTGAGCTTAAAGGGTTAGCTGCCTAAATCTGTATAAATGGTTGCCTGTACGAGTAGTCACCATTGGAGGAGCCCAGCTTCTGGTACAATGAAGTCACTCTCTCCCATGTTGTATGTCATCAGAACCTCCAGGGAAGAATCATGCTGCCCCACTCTGGGCTCCTCTGTGGATAAGGACTGGATAAAATCTCTCCAAACCTATCTTATACCTGGGTACCGATAAACTGATTTGCTACTAGAAAGTTGATTACATGCCAGTGATGAACTGGGAATACACAGTAGACTAGAGTAAATGTGACCTGTCTTCCATGAATTTGTATTCTAAAGGAGCAAGCACCCAATGCTCACCATAGAACTGAAGCAGAATTCCATGAGGGACACTAACTTATTGGCCAGCAAGACCCACAGGGTGAGGAGGTATTTTATGCTCAACACCAGTGGGATATTTGCTCTCAGATCAGGACAGTCTTCCTGGTCCAGAGGGGTCTCAAGAGGCCTTCTTACCCAAGCCCCTGGCCTCTAAACTAAACACATTATAATTTCATCATTGAGGTCCCCTAGCTCTCTCATACACTCACCCTTTCAGGAAGGAATTTCTATATCAGGCCCTTTCCCTGCAGAAGAAACCTCTTGTTCTTTGCCCCTCCTTGCCAAATACATCCTCCATAAACTTAGACGAAAAGAACTGCACGTCCAAGTGTCTCAACAGAGCTGGTCAAATGAGAGATCAAGACTCTAGAACTTGAGGAAAAGGTAGTTTGGCATAAGAACTGGAAGACCCGTGTGACTTTCCCAGTAGGTCCCTGTGGGTCATTACTGTTTCAGACACACTTTCAGCTCCACACTGCCACCGTGTGGCCCCAGGGCAAATCCCAGGTCACTCCTGTCTCCTTTTCCCTATTAAGTGAATGTAGGGGTACCAAGAAGATGGCTCCCCGCCCCTCAACCTTGCCCTTGGCCCTGCCCTGTTCAAGGAGATCACAGTTTTATTTTAGCTCACATATCCCATTGTCATTGCCCACAGGAAACAAAGATGCCCAGAAATCTCCTGGTTATTAAGTAGTTGTATTGGTCAATTTCAACCACGTCTGGGTTCTGGACCCAGGAGTGAGTTGCTGTGGCCTAGGCTGAGGCTATAGCCCCTCAAGAGATAAAATACCTATTTACATACAAAACATAGAGCCATCTGTAAAATTACTTGCCTGTACCAAACAACATAAAAAGCCATTCTGAGAAATGCCCACAGTCAAGCGATTAACCTCCTCCTGCCATCTTCTGCCCTGCCCACCCCCAGACCCCTGCTCCCACATGGGTTCCACGGGACTGAAGTACTATATTTCACAGAGTCCACAGGACGGCATAAACATTTTACAAAACTGCTCAGCCCAGGGACAGTATCGCTCAGTTTTTCCCGGGGTGAGCTGTCAGAAATGAGGATGACCCAGAGAGCGCGGGACCTCCTTCTTGCTTCCCACAAGGCCCACCTCCCTGGACCCTATCCGAGGCCCTGGTGCTGGCTCTGAATGCCTGTGAGAGCTTCCTACAGGGACGGCAAACGCCATCATTCATAGATCCAGACAGGATCCTGCCGTCTCCTTCAGGAGCCTCCTAGAATAGGCTCCTGAAGCACCCAGCCCAGTGTCCAGCTGTTCCCCATTGGCCTCATCATAGGACAGCACTAGCTTTCTGGAAAAGGTCAATTGCAGCCTTTCCATGGGAGGAAGAGGGAGGGCCCCAAACCACCACCACAAGTAAATGCGCCCTCATGCGATGCAAAGCTGGAAATATAATAGTGGGATTATGTGCTACTCTTTGCTAGAGAAGGCACAGAGCAGGCATGAAAGGGGCTCTAGTCGATCTTGATTCCAAGTCTCTTCTCGCCTCCCTACTGTAGAGTCTCCTGGGCCCAGTGCCCTGGAAGTCACCCACGGGATGCAATCCCGAGCCAGGCCACTATCTTCTCTAGCGTCAGTAGAGTGTTGTATAGTCTACAGCCTTACATTCGTGCCCTCCCAACAAGGCGGGCATTGTTATTTCTATTTAACAAATGAGGTGCCTGTTGCTCAGAGAGATTGGATAACTTGCCCAAGTTCAAACAGGTAGAAAAGAGGTGAGATCAGGACTCAAACCCAGGTTTGGGGGTACAAGGCCGGGATCCCTTGTACCTCCCAGTCATCATGATGAGCAAAGATTTACTTAGTACCTACTATGGGCACCAGGGTCAGGAACTGTGGTCTGAAGTGGAAGCAGAGGAAGGAGCAACTTCAACAGCTCACGCTGGCGTGGGAGGCTCTTCAGCCCAGCTCCATCAGGACAGATGGACAGGGAAGAAGTGGTTGGACGTCAGGGACTGACATTAGCAACAGGGTGCAGTGAAGAGAGACAGTGGGTTCCCACATCCACCTTGAGCCTTGGTCTCACTAGGGTCTGTGTCCCGCTCTCCCCTTCTCTAGTATTGAAGGGCTGGGGTGCTTTGTTCACTCACAACACTCAGCTTAGGTTCTTTTCTTTTAAGGAAGCCTAATGAGACTTCTTAGAGCTAAGTGGCCTCTTAAAGAAGTGTATCCCCAAAGCCACAGTCACTCCTCAAAACTTCCCTAGGAGTGGAGGGCAGAGGGTCACTGCTCCCTGGAGTGCTCTCAGGAGCTCTTAATTAGATCAGCAATCCCTACATTAATAGGGGCTCACGTGTTTAGTATGGTTCAAGAGTTTACAAACCACCTACACACGCACAGTCCTATTTGACCCTCATAATGAAGAGAGCAAGGCCATTGGTGGTGGCATGGTGGTAGAACCAGGACCCAGTTCTCCTGACGTCAGCTGATGGTCTTTCCACCATCAAGACCATCGCTTTGAGTAGAACCAGAATCATGGTGGGGAGGTTATCCCATGGTATAAATCCCACTGCGGATAATGAGGTGCGGGACAAAGCCCCAGATTCTACCTGCCAGGCTCTCTTGGCATCAGCATCACAGAACTGAGGGCAAAAGTGGACAGTACGGCCAAGGCAGGAACCAAAGTCACCAGAATCGAGTCAAAGGGCATAAATGTCATTGTCATGAAAACACAACAATTCTTCCAGAGCCTACTGGTTAGAACGTCCTTAGAGAACGCTTCTCCAGTCTTGCAAAGTCATGAAAGTTTCAAGCTGGGAAATGCCTTAGAGATCATCTCTGTTCTACAGGTGAGGAGCTGAGGCCCAGAGAGGGAGGTGACTTGCCGAAGGTCATACAGATACCCCATGGCAGAGCCGAGTTTCCAGTCCTGGGCTCCTGATTTGGTCACGGCAAGCATGTGATTCGTGTGGAAGCTCTGAGGAGCCTCAAACAAATCCACAGCCATGACTAAGTCACACTTTCTCAAAGGATGTCTCCTCTGTGCATCCCCAAGAGGCAGGAGCCATGTGGACCCCCTGAGGGGAGGAGGGAGAGCGACCAATCCCTGCTGCCTCCGAGGCTTCCTCCCACTCGGAATTTTATTGTGACCATTTTCATCTCCTCCTTTCCTCACTCTTTCTTCTCACGCTCACCCCCTGTTGGTCATTCCACTGAGAATATGCAATACTCTGCCCTGTCACCCACCCTAACTCTAAATGAGGTACATGGGGAGAAGAGAAGTAGCGTTTGCAGAGTTTTTACCAGTTACCAGGTGCTGTGCTAACCCTGCATTTCCCTTCGGTAGACAGGTGGGCATAGCAGGCGAAGCCCTCACACCTATTCACTTTCTTCATTAAGCAATCCTCTCTCTACCAAAAAAAAAAAAACCCAAAAAACAAAAACTCAGGATGCAGACAGGGTCCTTCTCACAGGTTTTCACTCCTTCCCTCTCCTGGTTGAACTGGGATGCGCTAGTCAGGTTAGGATGAGACAAACAAGATAGGAGACCAGCCTCTGAGTCCCTGCTGCCTGTGGACCCCCAGACAGGACAGCCCTAGGGCTGTCAGATCTGGGGCACCACATCTACCGCACGTGTGGTTCCCAGACACCCTGTGAATATGGCAGGATCAGGGAAGCAGACAGTCTGATTCTCCCTGACTCCCAGCATGTGAGGTTGGGAGCAAACGACGGCAGCCATGTAACCAAGAGGAGCAGCCATTCTGGCCTCCTCGCCCTGCCTCAAACTGGGCTCCCCTAACTCCAGCCCTGCGCTCCCAGCATTTACACCCAGTGCTGAGGTGGGTAGAGACCCTCGCCACACTCCAGGGAGTGTTCTCTAAAAGATGCTGGTCTCGGTGACGGTGTCCCTGTCCACCTGCTCTTCATCCTTCAGTGGGTCTTCGGGCCCTGGCCTCTGGCTGAGGGTGGGCAGGCCACTGGAGCGGGTCAGCAGCATGGCGCGGCGGTTGGATGGGCTGCCGCTGGAGAGCTGCCTGCACATCCTGGGCCCCGGCCCCCCGCAGCAGGCCAGACGGCCGAGGGAACGCGGCCACAGGTGGCCATTGAAGCCCATGTAGATCCAGGGGTTGCAGCAGCTGCTGAGGTTGCCCAAAAGCATGGAGATGGTGAAAGACACATTGGTTGAATCTGCCGAGAGAGAAACACAAGAATTTTAGACCTGGGAGAGATTCCCAGTCCCTACTGATCGGAGAAGGAAATTGAATCCCAGAGAGGACCTGGGACTCTCGTGGGGCTCTGTAATTAGAAAGAAATACAGCTGGGGCATGAACCTGGGACTCCTGACTCCAGAGTCTTGCCTCACTGATTGATTTGTTCGTTTTGTACTACAGGGTGATGACAGGATCCGAGGCTTGCTCTGAGTTGACTTTAGAGGTGCAAATATAGTCCGGGACAGGACCAGCCCAAATAGGAGACACTGTCTTTGTTCCAAAACCTCGCTCTTGAATCCCCTAATGGATGTAGAGCTAGGATGAAGCAACTTCTATAAAACATTCAGGAAAAATAATCATGATTCTAGCCAGGTTCAGGCACACCTCCATCCCCACTTATGTCATAGATACGGGTGCACATTGCCTTCCGAATTCCGTCCTCCTTGACCCCTAGGGGTCAGTCCCAGTCATTCTGTCATTCAGTCAGTTTGCATGTGAGTATCAACTGTGCCAGGCCAGTGATAGGGACCTGGTAGGGCGATCAGTGGAGCCTGACAGTCCTACAGGTCCCATGATGTCATCTCCAACTGTGCACCTTCTAGGTACAGGGCATCCAGGCATCCCGTTCCAGACCAGTACTTGTTCTCTGTCATCAGAAATTACATCCAAAGAATGCACCATCCTTGGCGGGTGGGGGAGCTTATTTCTCTCCCGGGAAGTCAAAATGTGAGAGTTCAAAGACTCTGATAAGACTTCTTCCAGATACAATACTCTTTCTGAAAATGAAATGAAACGTCTCATGACAACAGGAAAGCTGGGGGATGGGCCCTGTCCTCCTGCTAGATGCACCACGGCTACAGTTATGGCATGGGTTGCATACTGAGTTACCCTCCTCTTCAGTGGAGGCTGTAGCATCACTGAGCACAATGCTTAAGCTAGAAGGAACCTTAGAGGTGGAATCACCAAATACAACGTCAGAGCTGGAAGGAACCTTAAGGGTTATGGCGTAGACTTGAACCTAGGTCTTCCCTCTTCAAAGCAGCAATCCTGCACCCTGCCACCATTTCAACCAACAAACTGAAGGGCAAAGCTCAAGTGCCTGCTCTGTAAAGCACCATGAGATCTTCCGATACACAGATTCCTCATGCGCCTCTCCTGAGGGTATGCTCTCCAGTGCGGTACTCATAGCCCAAGAGAAGGGAAGATCCAGGGTCAGAATGTTTGAGAGAAGGCTTGAATCATAGAGTTAGGAAGCTGAAGACACCTGGGCCTGGATGGGCAGGTCTAGGGCACAGAAGTGAGGGCAAGGAGGGAGCACCTGGAAGTGGAGGAGAGACCATCCTCAGCAACAAGCACAGCCTCCTTCAGGCTTGTCTGGGCTCTGGCCTGCTCCCCAGTTAACTTAATACCCAGGGGCTGCAGAAGACTTGGGAAGTTGCTTTAGCTAAGGGGTGGTATTCATCCCGTCTGCTCCATCAACATATATATGTAGTGCCCAGACTCGGCCAGAGACTTAGGGGTTCCAGAAGTTTCTTCACTTGGGAAGCATCTGTTTGATTTAGGCCTGTCTGAGCCAGGCCCTGTGCAGGGACTGGAGATGGTCCCGGAGCACTGGAGTCTGCAGAGGCTTCACCTCTCAGCCCCCGAGGGCAGATCCACTACTAGTCCTGGCCAGCCGCTGCACTTCATTCTGACGGAAGCTCAGCTGACAGTCGGGGGCAGGGCCAAGGGCAAGGATACAGACAGCTTCTCACCAAAGACTCAGGGACAGGTGGCCAGGAGGCTAGTTTGCTGTGGAGGAAAACTGGGTGTACTGGAAAGTAAGTCTAAAGTAATGAATGTCAGCCGGACTCGAAGGTCCCAGAGGGCTTCCAGTTTTCTGAGGGAGCACATTTTCTGAGGGATACTTAGTTCCTGTACTTCATACTCAGTGAGGCTCTTGGTAAGCGGTAAGTCACTCTATACATGGGTCTCTGGGACAGGCTGATGATGACAGTGAGTACAGCAGGCGAGCAGGAAAGCCTGCACCGGCTGAACGGCAGGATCCCCATCTTCTTGGAGGTTCCTTGATAAAGGGGTGAATGGCCTTCTCACCCCTGGTGACATCAGCTCAGCTGTGATTGTTGGGAAGAAAGCCATGCCACGGTTAAAGCTTGGCCCATAAAGACCTTCATTCGATTCCTGGCTCCATCCCCTACTAAGCAGTGGCACTTCGGACCAGTTATTTCACCTCTCTGAGTCTCAGGTTACTCAGACGTAGAGAAGGTCACCCCGAAGTAGCACAAGGCCTGAATGTGCTTGGCACTAGAAAGCCCTCCTTCCTTCTATTCTGTGCTTGACTAGAGCAGGGAGGTCCCTACAGGTGGTTAGGATTAATACGCTCATTGCTTTAAGGGTAATTTATAAAGTCTCTGGTCCAGACTGGTGTCTGAAAGGTGGTTAAGAAGGGGTATGATGGGACCGTAAGAGTTCAGTACTGCCATCACACTTCTCTCACAGAGTTGTGTTGACATCATGAACAGCCTTCCACTTACTTCATCTCTCCAGAAAAGCAAAGCAGTTGGCTTAAGTGTGTGCTAGGATGAGCAAAATGAGATTAGAAACAAAAGCACAAGGAAGGGGGACCACTCCCTAAGAGCTGGTAGGAAGTGGTAGCCAGGGTCTGCTGGCCAGTGAACCCTCTGGAAGCTTCCAGAGGAAACTGTGCACAGGGCCTCCCTAGGGCAGTCACATGCTGCACCCATTATATACCCCAAGCTGTGCATAAGATGTGATGCACTGCAGAGGACACAGTCACCTCTCTTCACAGACTCGTCCCCCACTCTTCTTAGGGGAGCAGGAACAGATGTCTTTGAATACCTCTCTCCAACATTTTGGGTGCCCAGACACCGCATCTACCTTTCTGAGGACAAGTTCACCCCTAAATGGCCTGACCGTCTGGCAGTGTCTAAAACTTAGGAGGCTGCCATCTACCTCACTCCAAAAAATGACCAGAACAAGGCCTTCTATGTGCCAACCGGAACACAGTCCCATTTTGTTTTTCACGTAGGAGGAAGGGCCCTCTCCTCATCACTTTCAGAGCCAGGGTTATGGGGGTGCGGGGGGGCAGGAGGATGTATTGAGGGAAAAAACAAGGAGGCACCAGGCTCGGGTTCTACTTTTCACTTTGCTGTGTGGCCTTGGGCAAGTCATGTTTCCTCTCTGAGCCTCTGCTTGCTCACTAGCAAGACAAAAGACAAAAGTGTTGAACTTGAAATTTCAGGGTTGTGCACCAAGACTAATTCATTGAAAGTGGCTGTTGTAAAGGGAGTTCAACGTCATATTTAGTTGCAGGGGGGAAGGGTGCCGAGGGACGTAGTTCATGGGCCACAAATTTCCATCCTGGATGGAATCATTTGAAAATCCCTTTCAAACATCTAGCAAACCACCAGTTGCTTGGCCAAATCTACTAATGGCCATATTTTTTTAGGGCCAAAGAGTATTTTAAAACGTTTACATTAGTTACCAAAATTTTAAAAGATGGAAATTCACATCAAAGATACTCACATGGCGTCTTTTGGCCGGAGGGGAGTTGCAGCTGTCCCTTTTCACGTGGGACAGGCGCCATCTTTCCTAACTGCTCATTTGTCACCTATGTGGCCTGTGAGCCATTGTGACCCTGTCCTAATACTCTTGTCCTCTCCTCTCCGCATTTTTCCACCTCCTGCTCCCACATCACCCCTCACCAGACCACACACTTGCCTTCATCAGGGGCATTCTCGTCCCACACAGACCACATCTGGACGCTGAAGAAAGGTGCCCAGCAGGCGATGTAGGCCAGCACGATGACGAAGGTCATCTTCACCGTTCGGATCTTGGCCCGTGAGATGGTGTTGGTGCCGCTGACCCGGGATGGCAGCCCCCGTGTGGCTGCAGCTGGGGCAGAAGGAGGTGAGGGCCGGTTCCAAGTCCTCCAACCCCCTCCTTCTACCTTCCAGGCCCCGGTCTTGACTTTTAGGTTCTTACAGATTTCATGGCAGATGAGGCTGTAGCAGGCCGTGAGCATGGCCACAGGCAGGATGAAGATGGCCAGGGTGGTCCAGGTGATGTAAGCCCGTGGCCCCCAAGGAAAGCGGAAGTCTGCCCAGCAGTCCAGCACTCCAGAGCCCTGGATCACCTCTCGTAAAGAAAAAATGAAGACTTGAGGGAGGCTGAGGATGGCGGCCAGCAGCCAAGGAGCTGCAATGAGAGGGTAGGTAGACAGGCTGGGCTGCTGGAGGCTGCACAGGGGGTGACAAACGGCCAGGTAGCGGTCAAGTGTCATGGCCAGCAGCATGTAGGTGGAGGCGAACATGCTGAGCACCTGCAGGTACTTGATGGCCCGGCAGAGGGGGTCGGGGCCCTGGAAGCGGTAGGTGATGTCCCACAGCAGCTGGGGCAGCACCTGGAAGAGCGCCACACCCAGGTCCGTCAGGGCCAGGTGCAGCACAAACAGGTGCATGCGGGAGCGCTTGCGGCCTGCCTGTCCCACTGTCAGCAGCACAGTCAGGTTGCCCCCTGTCGCCAGCACCAGGACAGTGGCCAGGACGCCGATCTCCACCTTGGCCAGCTCCTCATCCCGGCCCAGCCAGGGTGTGGTGGCATTGGGGACAGAGAGGGTGCTCCCGGGGGCGGGGCTGGTGATCTGAGGAGGCCCAGGATCCATGGTGGAAGTTTGCTGGGAGGGAACGGGAGGAAGGAGAGGGATGAATGGAGAGTGTGAGTGTGAGTGGAGAAGTTGGTTGAATGAGATGGAGTGGGGAGGGGAAGTTTTAAGATGGAAAAAAGGAGAAGGTTGGGGATGACAGGGAAAAGGCTGAAACTGGATGGCAATTGTTAAGAAGATGGGGATAGAGAGGAAGATGGAGAATGAGATAAGGAAGGAGAAGATGCTGACTCCGGAGAGCGGAGGGGGAACCCAGGAGCCAAGGGAAGGAGGGGTCAGGGAGGCAAGGTGTCAGGAAAGGAAGAATGGATGAGGCTGTGCACGGTGAGGCCTCTGGAAGGGACAGAAGGCTGGGGGAGCTGGCACCACTCCCAAATCCACCCCAAATCCACTCTCCCCAAACTTTTCTGGAAGTGGAAAGCGGATGTCCCTAAGCCTGCTTGGAGGTGCGCTCCCGGCCATCGGTGTCGCCCGCCGGCCTGGAAGCCCCAGCCGAGCCCACGCGCCCCGGCCGGCGTGCGGCGACCAGCGGCAGCTGGAGCGCAACGGCTCGGCCGAGCGAGTTTTATGCTCTAGCGCAGCCCGAGCGCAGCGGCCCCTCGGCGCGCCGGTTGGCTCCTGCAGAGGAGGGGCGGAGTGACACCCACAGGAGGAAGGACCGAGAGCCTGGGGGGAGGGGTGGGGGTAGGTGTCGGGGGAGGGTCCTGGAGGAGGGACAGAGGGGGCGGTGGACCAGCGACAGGGAGCCAGAGAAGCGGACGACGCGAGCAAGCGCTCACCAGCCGGCGGGACCCACGGACCCTCAGACAGACAGATCACCTCATCTTGGCTCGCACCTGGAACCCCCGGACTGTCTACCAAGACAGGTGCACACCCCGGGGGACGGGTGGTGGCGACCCACCTATGTGGGGACTCCAAGGCTGCCTGCTCTGTTGGGTCCCCGTTAGCCCAGAAGGGTCCAAAATCTGCAGGGGTGGCCAGGTGGGCGAGGCAGGGCCCCAGACGGAGCCCTCGGCCCTTGGGGGTGACGTCCGACCACAGACTCTGGTGGAGACTTGGAGCCATAAAGAGGGGGAAGAAAATGCGAGGATGTGTTTGGAGATGGGTCAGTGGTGGTGACGGGAGAGAGGTGGGGTGGGAGCAGTTAGACCTGGAGTCCTGGGGTTCAGGGGAAGGTTTAACCCCCAGCCCCACCCCCGGAGTCTTTCACCAGCAGTAGCCTCAAGGCAGTTAAGCACCCTGTGAGGTAGAAAACTGAGGCCGCAGACGTCACGTGACTTGCTCTAGAACTGGTACAGCAGTAGAGGCAGGACTAGACCCAGCGCAGTGTGCTTTTCCCAGAGCAGCCTTGACTAACAGCCAGTGTGTGAGAGGCACTGGAGCAGTAAAAATAGACCCCCAGGGCCCAGAGGAAGCTTTAAACTCAGCGGAGAAAGTCGTGCGTGGTAGTCGTTGTGGAATTCACTTTGTTTTTAGTACATATAGGAGGAGGATTGTTGGGACTCTCCAGAGCAGATTAGAAGTTCCTTAGGAGTGACAATAGCATCGTCTACCACCCTCAGAAAGGCCGCGACCCATCATCGTACCAGAGGTCCCCTTGTCTTGCCTTATAATCAAACCAGACCCCCATTTACAGTGTCATCCACCCACCCACACACCCAATTAACATCACTTTTTTGAAGAGTCTCTGTCCTGAACAGCCCACACATTCATCTCCACTTCATCCCACTCCACAGTTCAAACACTCACCATTTCTCACCTAAAATACCCTAGCATCCTCCTCTTGTGCTCTGCAGCCCAAGCCCCAACTTCTCAAGGATTTTGCTCTTTATGAGTAATTATTTTAAGTCTCTACTGGATCACTCCCATCGGCAGGCAAACAAACTCTACTGCCGTGCATTTAAAAAACATATATATAACCCATGTCAGTCACTGGACCCCGAGCTCCAGCTGTTACAATCTCTTCCCCTTGACGGCAAAACTCAAAAGGGCTGTCGTTTCTTGATGTATTCATTTAAAATTATATATATTTAAACATATGTTTTAAAATGTTACATAAATGATATCATACTACATATACCATTCTGGAACTTGCTTTTTAAATTCTACTTTATTTTTGAGATCAGTCCATGATAATATATAGGTCTAGTTCATTCACATTCGAGTATGTGAATATAAAACATTTTATTTATTCAGTGTCCTATTTTTATAGTTTAGGTTATTTCCAGCGGGTTTTTTTTTCTTTCTTTTTTGCTATTTATTTTTGAATGCTGCAATGAACATTCTTATATATGTGTCTTTGTGTTTGTGTGTGAGAATTTCAGGTATACATAGAGAAGTATATGCTTGATATCAATATTGTTGTGTCATACAATGTATGAATTTTCAATTAGATAGGACCATATCTTAAATCTTAAATATTTTATCTCTAAATTTGTTCTACTGATTTATCCTCCCCCCAGGTGCATTTGAGTTTCTCATCATCCTCACAGCCAGACTTTTTAATTTTCACCTATCTGATAGGTATAAAATAGCATCTCATGTTGCTTTTAGTTTCTATATCTCTGATTACTAATTATTTTGAGTATCTTGCCATGTATTTATTTACTGTTTGGATTTCCTCTTCTGTGAATTGTTTATATCCTCTGCACAATTTTTTATTAGGTGGTTTTTCTTATCAGTTTGTAGGAAAACTCTATATGTTCTGATATGAATCTTTTATGTATTCTGAGACATTGCAGATATCTTCTCTAATCGGTCACTTATCTTTTAATTTTATTTATAGGGTCATTTGCTACAAAGAAAGTTTAAATTTTAATGAAATCAATATTTTCTTTTATCATTTCTGCTTTTTGTGTCTATCTCAAGAACAGAGATAGCCCGTATTTTTTTCTAACACTTTTAACATTTGTTTTTCACTATTTAGGTCTTTAATCCATTCAGAATTCATTTTTGTGTATCTGTGAGGTAAGAATCTAACTTCGTTTTTTCCCCACATGACAAACTAATTACTCAATTTATTGAGTACTCCATCATTTCCCACTGGCAGCTGTATAATATATTGAGTTTCAAAATATGTATGGGGCTATTTCTGGGGTCTCTGGTCTGTTCCACTGTTTTTTCTATCCCTGCTCTAATATTTCACTGTTTTAGGCACTAAAGCTTTATAATAAACCTTAATATATAGTAAAAAATAAGCCTCCCTTTTGCTCTTATTTTCAAAATGGTTTTCACCAGTTTGAAATTGTGAAGTTTGGTATCAGTTTGTCTAGTTCCACAAAAATTTCTGTTGAGCTTTTGGTTAAAAGCATTGAATTTTGAGAATAATTTGAGGGAGAACTGACATATTTATGATTTTATTCAGATCTATTTTTCTGTCCTTCAATAATATTTTATACTTTTCTTCATAAATGTTTTCCAAACTTTTGATAGATTTATTCCCACATACCTAACAATTTCTGTTGTCATTATACGTAGAATGTTGTTCCGTCACATTTTCTAATAACTAATTAGTTATTGCCAGTATTTGGGAACAACATTGATTTTTGTAACTTGATCTTAAATTCAGCAGTCTTGCTGCACGCTCATATTAGTAAATTATTTGGGACTACCTATGCGTATAATATTGTCTGCAAACAACAATCAATTTTTGTCTTTTATTCTGAATCTATTTTGCTCTTATTTCTTTTTCTTGTCTGAGTGTGATAGCTAAGACTCCACTACAGTGTTGAAGGGCAGGCAACATTGATTTCTGACTTTAGTGAAAGGGCTTCTAAAGTTTCACCATTAAGTATTATATTTGTGGTAGATCTTCTTCACTTTTTAATTTTTAAAATCTACTTAGTTTTTACATGCACATAGTATAAAGAGTCACATTATTCTATACTGGAGTTTTGATACTACCCCTAGAGGTAATAATTTTCAAATCCCTAGAGGTAATAATTTTCTTCCATTAAAATTTTTTATTAAAGAAAATGTTAATCATATACAAAAGTAGAGAGAATAGCATAAGGAAACCCCATGTTTCCATCACTTAGCTTTAACAATTATCAATAGATAGCCAATTTTATTTTATCTACCTCTTCATTCACTTCCCCTCCACCCCAAAATTGTCTTGATGCAAATGTCAGACATCATATCATTTCATCAGTAAATACTTCAGATGTATTTCTAAAGAAATAGGATTCTTAAATATAACTATAATATAATCCCCAGACTATGAATAATTCACTAACATTATCAAATATTGATCAGCTTTCACAGTTCCTTGATTGTCTAATAAAAAATGGTTGAATGCCTTAAAATTTTTTAACAGTTTGAATCCAGATTCAAAAAAGGTTCATACGTTGGCACCAGTTAATGTGTCTCTTAAGTCTGTTTTTTTATAGATTCCATTTTCATCTTTTTGTTTCCTTTGTTCCCTGTAATTTTGTTTTTGTTATTTTATCCTGTAGTTTCCCACAATCTATATTTTGACCTTTGCATCTCTGTGAAGTTGTTTAATAAATTCCTCTGTTTACTGAGGACTGATAAGATTCTGGTTAGATTTTTTTTTTTAGCAAGAGTACTTCATAGGTATTATTGGATGCTTCCATAAGGGATAAAGAATGTCTGATTGTCTATCTTTTTGTGATGTCAGCAGCCAGTAGTAGATCCATTGCATGGATCTATTAATTCATCAGGATTGCAAAATTATTATATTCTAATTCTATCATTCCTTCATTGCTTATTTAAATAATCCTATAAAGAGAATCTTCTCTTCATCAACTGGTCACCCTGAGGTACAGTTTGCACAGAAAAGACGAAATTAATGCTTAGTACTGTTCCATTATTAATAGTTTTCAAATAATGAATTGGTTCCCTGGAATTCTTCAAATCATCGATTTAAATATATTTAGTGTGTTGCAATCACTTAGAGTTATTATTTTGATGCTCAGATTGTCCCATTTTTCGTCAGTGGGAGCTTATTTAAGTTGGCACCTGAGTCCGTTTGTATTTGTGTTGTTCATTTGGCAATAAATATTAATCATTTTAATGTACATATCTTTTAATTGAGATATAATTCACATACCATAAAATGCACCTTTTTTATTGAATGAAAGATTCTTTAAATTCTATAGTGCTTTACAATTTTCAAAAGTTTCACACGCATGATTTCATATAATTCCATAAT